TCACACAGTATATTATTTTGCCTAAACAGCTTTACATGCAAATACTTGCTGCAGTGAGTCACTGATCTGGTTCAAGGTTGGGCAAAAAATAGTTTCAGTAAAGTCTTTAAAGGAAATCACTTTCTTACAGCATAAATTATGTTCTCGAAACTATATATATGACAAAACTTAGCTCTTATACACAGAAATCCTAGTGCTCTCAGTCCATCAACTCTGCCCTGTATTCACACATATGAATAGCCTAGGGGGCTGGTATGAATTACAGTCCTGCAAGGAAGCATTTTAACAAATATTAAAAATTCAACTCACATTTAATATATCATTTACCTGACACTGAAAAATGTAGAAAAGGCTGGTGACATTTTTATCCATATTATTTTTGTAGACTTGAAAAATTATTTCATAACACATCTAAATTATAAATCTTAAGAAATCTATTATTGGGGCTTCCCTGGTGGCGCAGTGGTTGAGAGTCCGCCTGCCGATGCAGGGGACATGGGTTCGTGCCCCAGTGCCGCGGAGCGGCTGGGCCCGTGAGCCATGGCCGCTGAGCCTGCGCGTCCGGAGCCTGTGCTCCGCAACGAGAGAGGTCACAACAGTGAGAGGCCCGCGTACCGAAAAAAAAAAAAAAGAAATCTATTATTGGATACTAACTAAAACCCCAAACGCAGAAGAGAACATTAACTTTGAGGCTGTGTACTTTTAGAAACATACTCTTTAAATTTTAAGAAGAATAAATCTGTTAATTTGCACAATCATTGTCTAACTGCATTCTGAACCTAAAGGCAAGATCACTTCAAAATAGTATGTAAAATATTAGTTCTTCTCTTACGTTGGGCTGGAATGGGTAACGGAAATATTCTCAAAGAGCCTGAGCTATTAGCCTTGTTGAGCTTTTTTCACATCAAAGTGCAGACAGAAAAAGCAAGTATTTGTATGGCATATGAGGGTACACAGGTGTTCACCAGCTACCCTGAATCTAAGAAATCAATTCCTCCAATACACTCATAACACACAGGTTAGGAAGCTGTGCTGAAGACTGAGGTGAAGACAGTAGTCCTCAGGGAAATATTTCCTGGCATCCATTTACCCACAATCCTGGGGGAGCTGGGATGTGGAAAAGGCAGGAAGCTAGATTCACAAACACACAGAGCTGTCTAGCTCCACAACCTCAGTCACCACATCATTAAAATCACCTGATGAAGCTCACAAGGCCAAGCACTGATAAAATCTAGACTAAAGCTGTGCAAGAGAACTTTCTGCAATAATGAAAATGTCCTATACTGCACTCTCCAATATGGCAGCCACTAGCCACAGGTGGTTACTGAGCACTGAAGGGTGACTAGTGTGACACAAGAGACAAAATTTTTATTTTATTTCATTTTAATTAATTTTAATTTAAATATTAATAGCCACATGTGACTAATGGCTACCATTTAGAGAGTGTACTTCTAGCCTGACCAACAAAACACAAGGTGGCATTCAAAGAGTTTTCAGTGCCCAGGCTGGTCATAGACCAAAGAGTTCATCAGTCATGTCAAATCGAGAAATGGGAAGGGATGGATCCCTCAGCATAGGCAGAACTTATCTCAACATCAGTGTCACACTCTGCAGGCCACACCATGAGCATTTATAGAAAGCCCCCCCACCCACACCCACTCTTTCAAAGTATCCTTTTAAGAAACCAACCCAAGAAGAAAAACACTTCTTCTCCTTCAACTCACTGTTGTATAAGAGCAAATATGGGAGAAAGCTAGAAGAACCAACAATCACTTACAGAAAGGTGCTTTCCTAAACTCAAGCAGAACATCACTAAAAAGCAGCTCTTTCCCTACAACTAGTTTCTGTCACATCCTTTCTACAAATGAAGCAAGATGTCATTCAAATGATAATAAAACAGAGTGGTTTACTGCATTTGCTCTGGAGTCAAACAGACTTGAATTCAAGTATCACATCCACTGCTCACCAGCTGTGAGATAATTAATCACTTCAAGTCTCAATTTTCTTCCATGTAAAATGGCTTAATACAGTACCTTCTTCACAGGATTATACAGATTACACAAACTAGACATAAAGGATTTAACAGAGTACCTGGCACGTAATAAACATTACTTAAATGTTATTTATTACTATTCCATCATTAGTTCACCATCACCATCCTATCTCCTTAACATAGTAGGTAGAAAAGAAATCTACCTAGGGACTTCCCTGGTGGTCCAGTGGTAAGGAATCCGCCTTCCAACGCAGGTGATGTGGGTTCAATCCCTGGTCGAACCCATTAAGATCCCACATGTCGTGGGGGAACTAAGCCCACAAGCCACAACTACTGAGCCTGCATGCCTCAACTAGAGAGGCTGCATGCCACAAACTACAGAGCCCACGCACTCTGGAGCCAGCATGCCACAACTAGAGAGAAGCCCGTGCACCACAACGAAAGATCCCGCATGCCTCAATGAAGAGCCCGCATGCTGCAACTAAGACCCGACGCAGCAAGAATACAATAAATAATTTTTTTTAAAAAAAGGAAAAGAAGAAATCTACCTAGAACAAAGCATATTTTAGATCAAATTCCAATTTTTAAAATATCCGTATGTCAAAAGATAATGTTGGAAAAGCAAAAAGGGACAAGTCATGGTGTACCTCAGAAGCCAAGAAAAGCAATTCAAATTATATTCTAAGTACCATGGAGATCTACCACTAGGATATGATATGAGCTGATGTATTTTTTTAAAGATTGCTGAGGCCTCTGGGTGCTTGGCAGAGCATAGAGGGAGGACAAGAGTGGAAGTAGGGAGCCAGTTAAGAGGCTTCAGCAAAAGACAAGGTAAGAGATGGTGGTTACCTCGACTGGAGCTGCAGCAGTAAAGATAGACGAGCAAAGAACATATCCAAACATATTCTGGAGATGGAGCTGACAAGACTAGCTAATGGTCTAATATGAGAATTAAGAAAGGGACTTTCCTGGCGGTGCAGTGGTTAAGAATCCACCTGCCAATGCAGGGGACACGGGTTCGAGCCCTGGCCTGGGAAGATCCCACGTGCCGCGAGCAACTAAGCCCACGTGCCACAACTACTGAGCCTGTGCTCTAGAGCCTGTAAGCCACAACTACTGAGCCGACATGCCACAACTACTGAAGCACACGCCTAGAGCCCCTGCTCCACGACAAGAGAAGCCACCACAATGAGAAGCCCATGCACCACAATGAAGAGTAGCCCCCTCTCGCCGCAACTAGAGAAAGCCCACACACAGCAACGAAGACCCAACGCAGCCAAAAATAAAAAATAAATAAAATTTTTTAAAGATCTGTAATCCCAATTATAAAAAAATAAAATAATTTTTTTTAAAAATTAAGAAAAAAGAGGAAACAAGGATGAATCCCAGTGCCATTTACTGGGAAAGATAAAGAGGAGAAGCAACTCTGAAGAAGAATAAAAAGCTTTGTCTTGGATCTGCTAAGTTGAAGAATTTTAAGTGGAGATGTGAAGTAGACAATTGTCGGAGTCAAGTTTCAAGGAGAGGTCAGGGCTAGAGATACAATTTTGGGAGTCACGGGCATCTACACAATGACTCAAAAGGCGTACAATTTGATGACATTAGTGGAAATCAGCAAAGAAGACTAGACAGAGGATGCAAGTAAGGTATAAGGAAAACCAAGAGTGTGGCCCAGAAGCCAAAAAAAGGGTTTCCAGCAGAGGGGGTGGTCACCTTCTATCTAACCTTAATGAACGATGAACACTTCTTAATGCTAAATAAAAAGTTTGCAAAGGACAAGAACTATTTCTTATTCATCTTGGCACCTTCTGCTCTACACACATCAGAAGTTCAACTCATGGTTACTGACTTAATGATTAGTAAGAGGGTCACAAATGCCCCCAAGTGAATGGCATTTGGGCAACATCTCATCTTTCTCGAGGTATTTCAGTCTGTAGCCAGATTTACCACACAATACCCCTTTCTAATAAATAATGAAAATTCTCGTTTAGTCCAAGTTTAATCATCTCAACTATTTTCTCATTGCCATTTCACCAAAAAACAGCATGTCCATCCATCAAATTTAGCAGCAATAAGAACAGTGCCAGACACATAGCAGGTGCTCAATAAATATTAGTTGGATGAATAAATGGACAGGGTAAGAGAGAGAAAAGGAAAGAGAAACAGTCTCTTATCCTACAGGATAAGAGAGATAAAATGAGACAATAATTCTCTATGGATTTCATTTAACATCATATTTTCCTCAATAATTAAGACTATGAAGGAAAAAACTTAAGAAACTTAAAGAAATCTATTAAGATAGTAAAATCATCAGAGATTTTCATCTGGAAGCAATAAATCAGTATTTTCTAAGTTCAATTTTTTTTTAATAAATATTTACTCCCAAACCTCTCATATCCCTATAAGTAATTCATTTTACACAAAAAGATATGAAATAACCTTCCAAAGCCTAACAGAGGATTCAGGAGCTGGAAGAGAAAAAACATTCCCAAAGACTGTTTGAAAGTAGATTCATTCCACTTTTAGTTCAAAGAATTTTAAAAGAAACCCTGGTACTAACCAATACAGTCGGCCTTCCATATCTGCAGGTTCCGCATCCACAGATTCCACCAACCACAGGTTGAAAATATTCAGGAAAAAAAAAAATTCCAGAAAATCCCAAAAAGCAAAACTTGAATTTGCCATGCAGGCAATTATTTACTTGGCATTTACAGTGTATTAGGTATCATAAATAATCTAGAGATGATTTAAAGTATATGGGAGGATGTGCATAGGTTATAAGCAAGTACTACCCATTTTACATAAAGGACTTGCACATCCATGGATTTTGGTATCCAAGAGGGTCCTGGAACCAATACCCATGGATACCAAAGGAAGACTATTCCCCCATAAAAAGTCGAACATCCAAAAAACAAAAGACAGAAGTGCAGAAGAGCTTGACTATTGAGTGAACTTTACCACTTATAATTTTTCTGCTAAGAACTCAGAAATTAAAATTCTGAAATACCTGAGGCACCGTAAGCACCAGAATACCGCTGAGACTTCGGACCAGATGGAGAGGTTTCCTTCATACGATCAATCACATTTTCCGAAAGCTGAAAAAGCAACGTCAAAATAAAATCAATTATAAAAGAAGAAAGAAAACAGTACAGTAGCATCCAAGTAATTCAGCCATCCATACCAGTATGTATAACAAATGCCCTGAAGAAATTAGACTAAATCTAATAGCTATAACACTAAAAGCAAGTAAGAACAATTTTAAGATTTCAAGATGCACCCCACAGCACTACCTCATTTCTTCTAATGCACTGCTAATTGCTCATTATAAATAACTCTTTTCCTCATTTTATACTGTGCACTAAACTGTAATCTCTGAGAAAATGTAAGCCATCAGAACTCCTTCGACTTTCCTCCCCTGTCCTACAAATTAAGCTTGCAGCAGGCCTTAGCTCCTTCTTTCCCTCCAGCCCCAAATGAAATGGTGTCCCTCCCTCCCTCCCTCCCGTTCAAGGCTAACCACAAACAATCCCTCTTTCAACAGATTTCATTATGCACCAACTGTGTGCCAGCCAACTATGGGTGGCTGAAGTCATCAAGGTGCTTAAAGTCAAGAAGAAACAGACAATCATCATGCATTTAAATACAATGTGAAGGATGTTACTTAATGCAGTTGGCCTGTAATGGAAGGGCTGACAGCACAATGGGCAGATGGGCAGGGCATCTAGACAGGCTGTGGGAGTGGGGTTGAGCAGGGGGCTGAGAAGGATGAAGAGTACTTAGAAAGAGAAGGAGTAGGATAAGAGTACTCTAAGAAGAGAGTACTGCATGAAGCTATAGTTAAGCAGCAGGGCTTATCAGCATAGCAAGGGTAAACATCAAGCAGGCAGTTGGCAACAGGGCAGGGGCTCTGAGGAACACTCAGGCTAGGAGATTTGAGAGCCATCAGCCCACAACACCCCCCACCCCGCAACTTACCAGATCATCCTTTTTTATTTTCTTCACAGCACTTACCACTATCTGATTCTTTCTTGTTTATTGCCTGCCTTTCTCACTAGAAAGAAAGCTCCAGGAAAGCATGGATTTGGCTGTCCTGTCTAGTATATCCCCAGAGCCTCAATAAGCCTGGTTAAATGAGTGAATGGTTAAATAAATGAAACTATATGAATGAATAAAAGAATGGCTGAAGCAGGAAGCTGAGGAGGGGGCTTAGTGAAAGGGAAGGTGAAGAGGGAAATAAGATTCTAGATTTTGAAGACTCTTAGTAAATCCTTCAAGTTAGGGAGTTGAACTAGATCCTGAGGACGGCTGGGCACTACTGAAGGATTTTAAGCAGGGTAATGACACAATCAGACTTGCATTTTAGAAAGATCACTCTAGCTACAGTGTGGAGAACAGACTGGAGGGGGACAAGAAAAGAAGAGGACCCCTGAAGGACGCTAAAGGACCAATTAAGAAGCTATTAAGCATATGTCCACACAAAGATTTGCCTGGGAATGTGCAGAGCAGCATTGCTCATAATAGCAAACAAATACCCATATTCCAGTGAATGGATAAACAAAACATATATCCATACAATGGACTACAATTCATCAATAAAAAGAACTGAAGTTCTGATAGATGCTTCTATATGGATAGACCCAAAAAACAACTAAGTAAAGGAAGCCAGACACAGAAGGCCACATATTGTATAATTCTATTTACATGAAATGCCCAGAAAAGGTAACTCTATACAGACAGAAAATAGGTAAGTGGTTGCCTAAGGCTAGGATAAGAATGGAGATTAACTAGAAATGGACATGAAGATTTTATTGGGATGATGAAAATGTTCTAGAACTGGACTGTGGTGATGGTTGCACAATTTTGCAAATTTATTAGAAAGCGTTGTACACAGAAAACAGGTGAATTTTATATGTAAATTACACCACAATAAAGTTGTTTTTAGAAAATAAAAAACACGTTCCAGGGAGAACACATTCAAAAGATATTTAGGATTCAAAATGGCTAACCTTCACTGAGTGCTTATTATGTGCCAGGCACTTACACTAAACTAAGCACTTGACCCACTTAACCCTTCACAATCCTGAGATACTTTTATTACCTCCATTGTATAGGTGAGGAAACTGAAGCAAAGCCAGATTAAATAATTTGCACTGGACCTTACAAGTTGTCAGCAATGCAGCCAGGATTCAAACCCAGGAAGTCTGAGTGTCAAGGTCACAGTCAGCTGTCCCCTTCACTGCCAGATTCATTGTCTGACTAGATGAGGGCGAAGCAGAAATCATCAAGAAGGTTTCCAGGTCAAGTAATGGGGTGATCCACCTCCCACATCCTTAAGAACCTTCTTCCAGTTTCCACTTCCTTAACACACCACTATCTGGCTTGTAACCCAATACAGCAGAGAAAGTGTTCCAGTAAAAGTCACCACTGATCAAATAAATAACCTTCTATATTTATGTTTATATAAATAAATCTTTTTTATTTATACTTATAAAGCACCTAATTTATATGACTTCCTTTTGCTCACTCCCCTCTTCCGAAAACCCCTCCCCTGCTTTTCCAACATCCCTTCCTGCTTGTCCTAGGACTCTGGCTGAGTCTTCTCTCTTCTGCAGGCTTCCCCTCCCCTTGAATGCTAGAGGTCCCCACATTCTGTTCCTTGCCTTGATTTTCTTCTCACTCTACATGCTCTTGTTGGTACTCTCATTCACTCCCTTGATTTTTAAACTGCTGGTGATTAATGAATGAATTCTAAACCATTATCTCCAGCCCAAGAGCTGTATCCCGAAAGCCAGACCTAAACACTTAATTGCCTAATGGACACCTCCCCTGGGACAGACCACAAGCGCCTCAAACCCAACACGTCGCAAGCTGGATTCACGTTTGCCAAAAATCCCTTCTTCCTCTTGCTTTCCTTATCTCATTAATGACACCACCTCCATCCAGCTTCTAAATCAAAACACAGGACTTCTTGACTCCTCTCTCTTATTCTCTTAGCCATGACTTCCTCAACTCCTGAAAGTTTAACGAATTCATCATCTCTTCTCGCATCCCATTTCCCCTGCCCTAATTCATGGCACCATCAATATTCCTCCTAAAATGCAAATCTGATTATGGTAATTCCCGTTTCAAATCCTTCAATAGCTACCTCTGTTGACAAGAAAGTCCTGATTCTTCTGTGTGGCGTTCAAGACTTCCTCTTCATTTGGTTACGGCCTAACTCTCCAACCTCAGCTTCCATAGCTTTTCCCCCAAGACCTCATACCCTGTTCTCCACCCACACTGGCTACTTGTTGCCATCTCTTTGCCTTTATACATGGCTACATTGCCTTCTCCCTGGGCCCCTTGGGAGAGAACTGCCTTTCAAAATTCAGGTCAAACATCCTAAAGCCATTTCATTCCAATTCTGCTTACCCAACGCTACCCTTCTTGTGTCCCACAGGTACCTTGCACAAATTTCCAGTGCAGTGCTCCAGTGACAGAACAAGCAACTGCCTTTCTGCAAAACTGTGAGCTCCTGTATTAGCCATTCAACAAGGTTTACTAGGCCAAGCACTAATTGAGGCCCTTGTGAGACATCAGTGAACAAAACAGTTTGTACCTGAACTGTTACTTATATCTCATGACCCAAACCAGAATGGAGGTGAGACAGTAAAGGGAAAGTCCACAGCTCAAAAGTTGTGACCTTTTAAGGAAAAACCATGACTCCTTTCTTGGAAGAGAAGTAGAAGTTAGGAAGAAGAGTGCCAAGGCACTTTGCTTTTCTAACAACTGACAGCCACTGAGACTGTTGCTGCAACTCATCTACAAAGCTGAGCTACATCTTAGGAAGAACCCCTCAAGACTGACTCCAATCCTCTCAATTCACAAGTGAGAAAAAAGAGGTCCTGAGTAACATCCAGCTACTGGCAGCATCAGGACAGCAACCAGTAACCCCCATTCTCTAGTCCAGTGCCCTCTCCACTATTAAATAATACACTCCTTAATCACACACAATAAAGTAAGAATGTATCACTTCCTCTTAAAGAAATAAAATGAGCCTTATTAAGTTTTAGAATCTTAAAACTATTTTAACTGATATATAATTTATATAAAGTTTACTCAATATATAAGGTAATATACTGCATAACATACATTTAATGTACCATATTAACATAGTATGCTGTAATGTAAATATGTATATTTTATATTACATATGATATATACTATGTATTATATCATATAATACATATGTTATATATGTAATATAATTTACGTGTTTAAAGCTAATATATATAAAGCTAATTTGACATATATAATTTCATATGTTACAAAAAGCTGGCCCAGAATAGAGGAAGAAGCACTGGTCACCTACTAGCTATATAACCCTCAGTGGGCCTCACTTTCCTCATCTGAAAACAGTGAAAATAACACCTACCACTGGAGTTACAGCGGAAGGATTCCAAGATGCACTGCAGACTACAACATGCTACACAAATACCTGGAAGAGTTATTACTAACACAACTCCAGCCATTAGGACTTCAACAGGTCATTCATCTTGGTTCACATTCATCAGCTCTGCCCACGTTTGTAATGAGCTCCTTCTCTATGTGGTGTATGAAGACAAGGCCTACAGCTATTGCCAGAAGCAGCTGCATTAAGTCCTGGTCGGAGTATATACGGTGCCCGTTTATCCCTCTCTACGCTCTTTGCATAGTAAAAGTACAAGTCTCTTTCAATATAAACAATTATTTCTTATTTCATTGTTAACTTTTTATTTGTCTGGCTTATCTGATGCTTCAAAACTTGTACTTAATGTCAATCAATTCAAAACATTTCCCAATAAGGTCTTTAGTTATACCTCAGTAAATTGATAAGCATGTCGTCCAAGGGAACACAACTCATTTTTTAAGTTGATAAACACGTTGCAGAGTTGCCTTGAGAGTCAACCTCTCTTTTTTGTCCTTAGAATCGTTCACACATGTATCCTCAGGCCCTCCCAAAGGAGCACCCATGGAAGCCTGCAGTTGCATCTCTGCCTACTCAAGCAATCTACCCTCTCCCCAGTCCAGTCACAACTATGCTGACAGAAGGCAATAGCTGGGCTATACTTTGTATCTCAAGCTGATACTCACTGAACTGACCTCCCAGCTGCAGTAATAAGTTCAGGCCTGCACTCTCACCTGATCTCCTCTGTGAACTGGGGGACTCTACTCGCTTGTGAAGCAGCCGACAAGATTTAGGGATGCTGGCCTGGGTTATACACACAATATGCAGCTGGAGAACAACTCTTCTTTGTGATGCAACCTGACCCCAAAAGGGGTCAAAGGTAAACCATAAGCTTCTGCAAGAGCCGGACAAGCAGCCTCTGTATCAGCAGCAACTTCTTTAGGAAACATCTTTCCTTAAACAGGGTACGTCTTTCAGAAAATCTTTTTTCCTATTTAAAGATCTATACCTACTATACCTGGTTTCCAGACATCTCTGGAATCTCCACCAAGGCAAATACCAAGTGCAATTTACAGAAATTATTTGTAGCAAAGAAACACACACATTAATGCTAGAATTATGCCCTGGGGTCCATGGATTCAGGAGTCTATGGATTAATTCCTCAATGGTATGCAAAATTTTCTGCTTATTGCATTATTCTGGGTAGAGTCCGTAGCCTACAGATTTACAATAGTCTGTGAACTAAAAGTTAAGAACCACTGTTCTAATATAAGGGAGAAGGAAAAGAAGAGGGCCTGCCAGCAGAGCTGAATTCAGTTCACTGACTTTGATTATCCACCCTATTCTCTACTGCTCCTGAAGACAAATTTAAGTAAATGGGACTTGCCAATTTTCAGTCTGTACTACACCCCATACGAACACGTGCCCCAGAGAAGAGGAAAAGGTTGTGTCATCTTCTATAGTCTTCCCAACCTCCTTGGTTGGTCTTATCTAAAATCAGCACAAGTACACCACTCAACAACCCAGAATCTAGTATTTTCTCAGAAACAAGAGACTGCGTGAGATGGACAATGATAAAGTATTTCTACTTCCAAGGAACAGAGTAAAAGGAGGAAGAGAACTCCTTTTTAAGTTGCCCCTCTCCAAGAGGCTGAGATAGGAACCACATGAGACAGAAACAAATCAGACCCTCACCTCCATAATAGGTTTTCTTCAACTTCTTCCAGGTGTTTCTTAGCAAACTGATTAAAGGACTCAGACCCACTTTTCTCACTTGGTCCTCTTTCCATGTAACACAGGTCATTTTCTTTTCACCTACCATTTCAACACAAAGGCTTCAAAAACTGCCACTATTATTTGGAAGACATTACTCCCAAATACTTACTTAAGGGGGACTATTCTATACTATCATATACACATGTATAATTTTTAGCTTATGTCTGTAGATTATCACTTGTGTTCTTTGCATTTGTTATTAGTGGAAAATATGAACTTCTACCGTCTGTATGAAAATCCTAGAAAGCTTATCATGGTAAATATATGCGCAAGAGATTCATGGAACCTAAAGTGGAAAGGGACCAGTCAACTACTCCAACGACGTTCCTCAGGACTCCCAACGACTGACTGGATTTGTAGCCTCTGTTAATGGACCCTCTCCAGGATCCTCAGCCAAATCCCACATGAAATAACTTAGGGGCTCTCAATGGCTAATACTTCCCAAAGCACAGGTTGTGTTCCACATCAGTATCCTTGCTACCATAACTGGCTCCTGTGAATTTCAGCTTGCGACTTCATGGCCAGTTGAAGAGATTAGTTTATGCCTGGAAAGCATGATAAATATTACTTTGAAAATGATACTTATCGAAGTTGACATTTGCTCTGGAAGAGTTCACTCACAGCTTTGATGTTCCAGATAAACTTGTGAAAGACTGAGTGGAAGGCACACTTCCCAAGCAGGCACAGCAGGTGCTCAGAAACATCCTATTATGCACATGTAATATGAGTAATCAAAATGCTTGGTCTTTCCATCACAATAAATTTATTTTAGACTTGGGAGAGGAGGGCAAGGCAAGAGGGTGGCCTTTCGTCCAACCCATGAGTTCAAAGTTGGAATCAGGTGTAAGAATACAGGTTATTTTATGGAAGGGGGGAGGGGGAGCTGTTGACTGCTGAGGATAAGGGGAAAGAGAAAACCAGGACCCAATAAATAACATGAAAATAACACCTGGTGAGAAGAAACTTTAAACTTAACATTGTAAGTCCTTTAATTGCTAACTGCTGAGGATCTCAGCAAGAAAAATCTGGGAAAATGTGATCTATTAATAAATGCAGCCTAGTTACTGAAAACCTTATGTTGTTTACTCAATATTACCCCTTGTATATTAAGATAAATGAAGATGAAATTACTACCCTTATCAGTGGAACACAAAATTGGTTTTCCAGCAGCGACTGAGTCTGCTGCATTGTTGGCACACTTTTTTTTTTTAAATTAAAGCTTTATTGTTATGAAAAAAGGTAACCATAGGTGATATGGTCACAGTGGTCCAAAAGGAAATGCTCTAAACATAGAAGCAGGAGGCCTGGAAAAGTGGTGTACACAGAAGTAAGGGAAAAGTATAAAAGAAATAGGAGTTATTCTCTTCATGAGAAACTAACAAAAGGGGTCCAAAGAGGGCAAATTTGGTAAAGCCAAAAACCACCAGAGAGAAACACATGTAGTGTGTTTAGGTGTTACTGTTAAGGTGAACACATTTTCTTTTAATTTTTATTGTAGTTGATTTACAATATTGTGTTAATTTCTGCTGTACAGCAAAGTGAATCAGTTATACGTAAACATATATCCACTCTTTTTTTTTTAGATTCTTTTCCCATATAGGCCATTACAGAGTATGAGTAGAGTTCCCTGTGCTGTAAGCAGGTTCTTATTAGTTATCTATTTTATATATAGTAGTGTGTATATGTGGCACACTCTTATTCTTACGAGTGATGGCATAAATGTTAGACAACTGGGCATATCTGGAATGTCTTCCTCAGCCAAGCTGAACTAACCTATCTGCAATTCAACCCTGAAGTGTGGGCTTCATCAGCACTATGCTTCAATCAACTGAGCTGAAAACACTGGCTCACTCATGACACTGAGACTTCCCCTCAGGAGAAACAAAAGGACTGTTTCAAGCTGAGAAAAATATAAAGATCAGCTTAAAAACATCTAGGGCTTCCCTGGTGGCACAGTGGTTGAGAGTCCGCTTGCCGATGCAGGGGACACGGGTTCGTGCCCCGGTCGGGAAGATCCCACATGCCGCAGAGCGGCTGCGCCCGTGAGCCATGGCCACTGGGCCTGCGCGTCCGGAGCCTGTGCTCCGCAACGGGAGAGGCCACAACAGTGAGAGGTCCGCGTACCGCAAAAAAAAAACTTTCTGAGGTCAAATTGCTTTATTTACTAGGATCAGGCATCATACTTCCAAAAATGTGAGGCTCCAAACTCAGGCGCAGCAGAGAGTGTGTTAATGAAATTAGTGCTGGTATGCTGACACCCTAGAGAAAAATCAAGTTTTCAGTTAATGTATCAAGCATATTCAGGGAGCATTTAAAAATTCTCTCCAATGTCTTGGACAGAACAAAGTGTACTACTCCTAGTGGTACGAAAACTTGCAATCCTATCTCAAGTCCTATCAGGCTGGCAGACCCTAGTCTTGAAGCCACTGGGCCTAGTCCAAAACTTAGGCACAGCAGGCCACAGAGGAGGGGCCTGGAAAAGACAAGATGTCAAGTGAAAGAAAAGTGAAGGAGGGAGAACGAGAAGTCACCCGAGGCAGGGCCGAAAAGTGTGTGTGTGTCGGGGGAATGGGTGCTGTCAGTGGGAGAGTACTAAACAACAGAGTAGATAAAGGGTTCCTTAAAAGGCCAGTTCATCCTGAGAGAGGCCTTGTGGGCAGTGCAAAAGCAGGCTTTGGATCCTGAACCCAGGAGAAGACAGACAAGCCCCATTTCACAGATGGGTACAGTGAGGAAGGGGTTTCAAATAAAGTCCCACAACTACTGAGCAATACAGTCTACACTGGACTGTGAGCCCTTGGAGGGTCTAAAGCAACCTGGCATCCGCCAGCCGCCCCAGCGCAGTGCTCAGCACTTGGCCCACAACCAGCAAATATCTCTGAATGGATGTCCCACGTTTTGAAAAACTTCAAACTTCTTTGCAAAGAACTCAGCTTCAGGCCGGACAACACTGGGGGGCCGGACGGAGGAAACCAGGCTGAGCGGAACCCGGAAAGGCCAGGTCCGAGTCCGAGTACTGGCCCTCCGCCTGCCCACTGTCACTCACCCGGATGCCCTTCACCACGGTAATGTTCTCATTCTCGTCCGCCTCGAAAGTGACCCGGCGGGTGCTGGCCGTCCCGCCCATGGCTTCTGTTTCTGCGCCCGCAGACACCTAGCGCGGACCCACAAGCACCACAGGCCCCACGCGCACACAAGCGCGTGGTCAGGCCCGGACTCTAGCTTTCCACAGGAGGAGCAAGGCCACGACCCCAAGAAGCAAGGAGAAGCCGCCGGTCGTGAGCTCCCGCCTCCTCCGGTCACGCGCCACAACAAAGGTGCCTCCGATTGGTCGAGGATATGAATGCCCCGCCTCTCTCCGGGAGGGGCGCTAGGATTGGTTGGCGCGGACCCGGATGCTATGGCAACAAGTGGTTCCTGACAAGGTTCCCGGAGCCCACTGGGTGTATTGGGAATTGTAGTCTTGATCTGGTACGATGGGTGCTGGTATTTTCTCGTCTTTATACCGTGAGCGCCAGAGGAGCATCGCCTTCTGGGAGTTGTGATCTTGACTGCAGAAACGGCATCTAACTGGGCAACTTTCAAGGAAGTTCATTCATCTGACAAAGCACGCTTTGAGGATAGTATTCTAGAAGTTTAGGCCAGCGAGTTAGAAGATGTAATCTCTTTCCTAAAGGAACTCACCGTTTAATGAGGGAGATGCACTCTCCCAATAGAGCCATTCCTAGATTCCTGTAAACAAATCCCCGAGGCAAAACGTAGCCTTTATTTTAGTCTTAGCCAGTAAAAATACAAAAAAAAAAAAAAAAACCACCACTGCATTTGGCCTGTGGCTTTATTTCATGAACTATGTACTTTTTCTTTTTTGTAAAGTAAAATTTTAAATATGGTTTTCAAATCTGCATGTGAGAAAACAGAGAAAATTATTTATTAGCACCAAGCATGCAGAACATTCACTTTTGTGTGTCTCCTTCCACCTCAGTTACATAAGCTAGTTAAACCATAATAAGAAGAGGCAGAGAAAAGTGATTGCCAGAGATGGTGTAAATTCGTGGAGGAATTAAAACTACATCAGAAAAAGTTGAGGAGTTTTATTTTGGAAAGTGTCTAGGTTAGTATGTCACCTCTACAAGATACATAAATAATGTTTAAGTTGTCTACATACACATTTAGAAATTATTTTTTGCTAAATATTCTGTGACATGTATAAATTTACCCATATGACCTTAGTCTTACAGAGGCATATGTATTCTCTTTAGAAATAAGGTTAGTGATGGTATTAACTTCAGGTAGTCCATTTCAACATTAAAGGCAGCCAGCCACAACACAGCATGCATCCTCTTATTCCAAAGGTATACACGAAAATGCAGTCACATTGTTGAGCTCCAGTTATGTGCTGATTTATTACTATAGAAATCTTTAGGGCAGAGACTATGTCTTTTTCACCTCTGTATCCCCGGTCAGTGGCAGAGTATTGAGTTTATTACATGTCATCATTTTGTTCTTTTCAACATATACATATCCAAATTGTATGATGCTACTTTGCAGTTTTGAGACTACATGTTACTTTGTACCTGTTCTCAAGTTGTATAATATGTTTCAACCTTCTTTCTATAGGAAACTAAAAATCCCAGGAATTATGTTTTTTATTTCTTTGGGACCTCCCCTCCACAAATATACCCTCCTAATTATACCCCAATATATAGCATGTATTGGAGGTTCTACATAAAACAGATGCACAATAAATTCTTACCAAAATAACTAATTACAAAGAAAGAGTTCCTTGGAGGGAGTAGAGAGATGAAGGAACAGCTAGTTACCTTGAATATACTTATCTCCTTAAAATATTAAATGAGTTCTTTCAACCAAATAAAGATGATGTAGGCTAATCATGAGAAGGTAGTGATGAGAAGGTAGTACATAATACAGAAACATGTAAGTGGTCTTATCAGGCAATCTAAAAATACTTTAGATATACAATAAAGTATTTTTAACTGTAGTGGATTTTGAAAGTCCTCATCACAAGAAAAAAAAGGTGTAACGATCTATGGGGACCAGAGCTTAGCTAGACTTACTGTGCTGATCATTTCACAATATAGACAAATATTATGTTGTACCCCTCAAAATAATATAACGTTGCATGTCAGTTATACCTCAATTTTTAAATTTTAAAAATTAAAATACTAGAATCCATAATCCATTCCAATCAACATTACAAAGAAACCCTCTGAATTAAAAAAAAAATCTTATCTTGGATAAACGCCTACTATAACCATAGTATTCTATCCATATTAATTACAAAGCCAGGCCATTCCTACAGCCCCTTCTAAAGAAAACTTCTTGAGGTACCCAGAACCTGTGGTCTCCCTTTCTCTCTGGTCACAGCTTATTAGTGATCATCTAACCCAAAGGCAGCGTATATTAGCCAGAGAATTATGAGCTAGAATGTGAAGCTTTGCCCAAACAAAAATCATAGCTAACACTTGAGACAATCAGATTCTCTGTATCTTTTTTCTTTCTTGCCTCTATTTAAACTTGAAAATTCAGAGCACAGAAAAAAATAACAAAGAGAGAAGCTGTGATACTGAGTCAGACCATGAGGCAAACTAAAGATAGGTGGAAACAGAAATTGTAAGGATAATTAAAGGTATCCATATTGGAAAATAGGTACAACTATCTCTATTTACAGATAATGACATTGTAAATAGAAAAGTCACAAGAAATCCACTAAAGTCTATTGGAACTAATTTTTTAAAAGTTCAGCAAGGGGCTTCCCTGGTGGTGCAGTGGTTGAGAGTCCGCCTGCCAATGCAGGGGACACCGGTTCGTGCCCCGGTCAGGGAAGATCCCACATGCCGTGGAGTGGCTGGGCCCGTGAGCCATGGCCGCTGGGCCTGCACGTCCGGAGCCTGTGCTCCGCAGTGGGAGAGGCCACAACAGTGAGAGGCCCACGTACCGCAAAAAAAAAAAAAAAAAGGTTCAGCAAGATTGTAGGATAGAGGGGCAACATACAAGAATCAACTGTATTTCTATATACTAGCAATTAACAAGTCAAAATTAAGAAAACAATTTCATTTATACTAGCATAAAAAACCATCTCAAATGTTCATTAACCAATGACTGGATAAAGGAAATGTATATCCAGACAACGGAATACTATACAGCAATAAAAAGGACTGAAGTACTGGCGTATGCTACAATATGCATGAACATTAACAACATTATGCCAAGTGAAAGGGCAGACACAAAAGACCACATACTGTATGATTCCATTTAAATGAAATGTCCAGAATAGGCAAATCTATAGAAAATGAAACCGATTGGACTTGTCAAAGGCAGGGAAGGGGTGAGATGGGGAGTGACTTCTGGTTGGTGCAAAGTTTCTTTTTTGGGGGGTGATAAAAATGTCCTTAGATTTTAGTGATGACTGTACAAATCCATAAATATACTAACATTCATTAAATTGCACACTTAAAATGGATGAACTGTATAATATGTGAATTACGTGTCAATAAAGCTGTTAAAGAATGTATAGCTATCCAAATGTGATAGAAATATATTTATTATTCAACAAAGTCCAAAATGGGGGTGGAGGTTAAAGAAAAAGAAAGAAACTGTGGGAAGCTTCAAGATGTTGAAAAATAAGCCAATCAAAAGAGAGACTAGAATAAAACAGACCTTCAAGGGACTTCCCTGGCAGTCCAGTGTTTAAGACTCCGGCTTCCACTGCAGGGGTGTGGGTTTGATCCCTGGCCAGATAACTAAGATCCCACATGCCACTGGGTGTGGCCAAAATGAACAAACAAGCAAAAAGAATTAGCTTAATGTCCTACAAGTAACAGAGTACTGTAGTGAAGACCCACAAGTCCAGAAGCTTCTAGGATTGCCTGGGATTCAGAAAGGCCTTCCAACTGCAGTTTTTGTAATGGCTGGCTCAATCAAAACACCTAGTCTTCTTCAGGCCCAGCTGTTCCATGTTTCGTAGGTTCTGGGGCATCTTACCAAGGAATCTTCCTAATCACGTGAGGACTACTCAAATATCTACAATAATAAAACATATTTTCTTCAGTCTCGGGCCATGAAACCAGCACTCCAAGTAAAAACATTGGATGTACACAGTTTACTTGGATGCCATGTGGAGAACTAGTTTGATTCTTCATCAATCTTAGTTTGACCATCAAGCAATATTACCTTCATCCTGAGCGATTTCTTACTTTTCCACCATGCTGAACCTTTGGAATTAATGCTGCAGATAAACAAAAAACAAACAAACAAATAAATGCTTTTGCTGTCAAAATTCCAATCATCCCTAATGGCCCCCCTCCCCTGAAAACAAATCCACCCAGTCTTCCAAATCACTGTCACAAACAAAACTCCAGAAGGAAGAAGGTTTGTACTACATACTTTTCAATCCCAACTTTAAACAAAAAGTTGCAGAAGGAGAAATCCTGGTGTACAGGATTGTATGTATTGACTGTAGTACAATCAATATAAGGACATTCCGAAAATATGGACTAAAACTTATCTCACAAGCCATAACAGGACATCAGCCTTAAAGCCTTCCCAACCAAATATTGTATGTAGAATCATATAAAAAACAGTGAAATCCTAAAATAGTGGTTCTCAACGTACGTGGAAGCTGGGGCACAAGTGTGCTTACGTGACATATTTTGAGTGCAAGAATTTAGGGCAGCACACTTGAAAAGATTATAAAACCCAAAATAGCATGAAACAAGTCAGCATTACAATTACAAGGCATTCACAGGTACAGTATAACAATGTTTCTCTGTATCTCTGAAAGTATCCACAGTAATGGCACAAATCACGTGGTCTCCCTTTAGTATCCCATCACTGTTGAAGTAAAACCGATTACTGCACTACCCATGCATCTAGTAAAATCGTGAGTCTTAATAGTACCCTTTGCCATTAATTTCTTGTTCACAATAAATTGTATACGCTGTGCCACGTTGTGTCATAGGGTAGACTCTGGTGAGCAACCTGCTTAACAGATACATATACAGTTAAAATAAATTTTACACATGGACTGTAACTTGGCAATGCACCAAGATTTCCTGGTACCTTTGGCATAGAGATTATTCTAGAATAAAGTCTCAACAAATTTATAGCAGTTTTCTAAAAGGCCGTTCTCTGCCATTTCCTGGACAGTCTTCTGTTATACTGTTTTCATTTTCATGTTTTTTCTCCTCATCCTACGTTCATCAGAATATAGTGGCTAAGATACTGAGGGTTGCTATCTGGGCATTGGAGGAGAAATGCCCAGGGAGTGAGAGACCAACCCATCCTAGCTCCTGTCTTGTCTACTCTCAAGCCCGGCAAGGGTCCC